TGTGTCACACAGTGGCCAGAAATGCCAGGTGCCATCAGGAGGTCCAGCAGTGGGGCCAGGACACCAGAAGCCCTCCCACTGTTGACCCCCCCCCCAAGCACCAAGAAGACAGAGCATCCCTTGTCCCAGAGCCCCTATCTATACCTTGTGGCTAAGAGCCACTGATGGACCTCTGCTCCATATGCTTACCTAATTCCCTTCTGAAGCCGCCCACGCTTGTAGCCGCCACCACTTCCTGTGGCAGTGAATTCCAAGTGTTAATCACTCTTTGGGTGAAGAAGTCCTTCCTTTTATCCGTTCTAACCCGACCGTGCAGCAATTTCATGGAGTGCCCACGAATTCTTGTATTGTGAGAAAGGGAGAAAAGTACCTCTTTCTCCACCTGCTCTATCCCAGGCATAATCTTATAAACCTCAATCATGTCACCCCTCAGTCGTCGTTTCAACGTGTATTTATATTTAGGATTTTTGGCTCCAATGTGCATCACCTTGCACTTGGCCACATTGAACCCCATTTGCCACGTTGACGCCCACTCGCCCATCCTTGACAGATCCCTTTGGAGTGCCTCACAATCCTCCCTGGTTTTCACCACCCTGAACAACTTCGTATCATCCGCAAATTTAGCCACTTCACTGCTTACTCCCAGTTAAGTTTCCGTGGCAGTGTGAGCATTTGAACCTGGGTCTCTCGGAGCCTAGGCTGGTACTCTGACCTTTACACCAGGCTGGGTCTCAGTTTGTCCTCGAAAGCCGCCGTTTCCTCTAGGGAAACTGATCTTCGTAGTTTGGAGACCTGTGGTAATTCTGGGTGAACTCCAGGCACCGCTAATGCCCCGTCAGGCGGCCTGACAGTCCATTTAGTTTGGCAGTGACTCTTTGGATACTAATGTGGACTAAGGTCTTTTTCAGCATCTGTTACTACCTAAGTGAAGATACTAGGAGCTGTTGTGGCTCAAGTGGTTAAGACGCGGAACTGCAGGCTGTGGAAGGTCGGTAGTTCAGCAGTTCGAGACCCGAGTGTGCCGCAAGATGGAGTGAGCTCCTGTCTCTAGTTCCAGCTCCTGCCAACCTAGCAGTTGGAAAGCAAGAAATTGCAAGTAGATAAATAGGTACCACTTTGGTGGGAAGGTCACAGTGTTCCGTGCGCCTTGGTGTTTAGTCATGCCGGCCACATGACCACGGAAACGTCTTCGGACAGCGCTGGCTCTTTGGCTTTGAAATGGAGATGAGCACCGCAACCCTAGAGTTGGACTCAACTGGGTTTCGAGCAAGGGAACCTTTACCTTTTTAAGTGAAGATACTAGCCCTTGAACCAAGGGTGTTTTTGTGTGCAAAGCAAACACTCTGTACCAGTACAATAATACCATGTATTCAAACAGGTGCTTTTGTGGAGGGTATTTAGTGCTGTAATAATGGCATGTATGCTTGAACATATGACATTGCCTTATGCTAGCCCTGTTCAGAGGTTACTATGAATACACCCAAAGTCTGTGAACACTTGATTTTTCTTTATACATGCATGAAGTAATTCATATGTTACATTCAAGGCACAGACAGCTGAACACATGATCTAAACCCCACATTTTCCAGGTCGTTGTCCTGGAAGTGAATGGATGTTGGCTCTTTCTTACAAATGTCTTGCACGCACATGCATCCACTGGAAAATGTAAACAGGACATAGTGAATCAGACTCTTGGTCTATTGAGGGTCAGAACTCGTGCGCACTCAATGAAATTGCTGAGCAGTTGGGTTAGAACGGATAAAAGGAAGTACTTCTTCACCCAAAGAGTGATTAGCACATGGAATTCACTGCCACAGGCGGTGGTGGTGGCTCCAAGCATGGGCGGATTCAAGAGGGAATTGGATAAACATATGGTCCATCAGAGGCCCATCAGTGGCTATTAGACACAAGGTATAGGTAGGAACTCTCAGGCTGGGGCAAGGGATGCTCTGTCTTCTTGGTGCTTGGGGGGGGGCAACAGTGGGAGGGCTTCTAATGTCCTGGCCCCACTGGTGGACCTCCTGATGGCACCTGGTATTTTTGGCCACTGTGTGACAGAGTGTTGGACTGGAGGGGCCATTGGCCTGATCCAGCATGGACTTCTCTTATGTTCTTATACATATGGAGCAGAGGTCCATCAGTGGCTCTTAGCCACAAGGTATAGATAGGAGCTCTCGGTCTGGGGCAAGGGATGCTCTGTTTTCTTGGTGCTTGGGGGGAGCAACAGTGGGAGGGCTTCTAATGTCCTGGCCCCACTGCTGGACCTCCTGATGGCACCTGGTGTTCTTGGCCACTGTGTGACAGAGTGTTGGACTGGATGGGCCTTCCGCCTGATCCAACATTGGCTTCTCTGTTATGTTCTTATGGGGCAAGGGATGCTCTGTCTTCTTGGTGCTTGGGGGGAGCAACAGTGGGAGGGCTTCTAATGTCCTGGCCCCACTGCTGGACCTCCTGATGGCACCTGGTGTTCTTGGCCACTGTGTGACACAGAGGGTTGGACTGGAGGGGCCTTCGGCCTGATCCAACATTGGCGTCTCTTAGCAAAGCGAACAATCATACACAGTCACTCCCCCCCTACCCAGTTCCCAGCAGAGCAGATAAATGGGAATGGAAAGGAGCAAGGTTACATAAGAACTGTAGAAATCCACCTGAATCGATATGGAAGTACATGGCAAGTGAGGCCTGAGCTTAGCTTCCGAAATCTGACGAGATCTAACCGGCAGTGGACTCTGATAGTTCTCCCCCCCCCCATCATCTCTGTAGCGATCCTTTAAAGGGGTGTGCCCGGGGTGGAACCTGGGACTTCCTCCATGCCAAGCTGAGCCTTGCGTTCTCTTCTCTCTTCTTGCAGGGGGCGACCGTTGAAAGCCGCGAGGAGCTCTCCAACGGCATGAACCTGATGGACTTCTCAGACGAGATCCTCCTGCACATCCTGAGATACATCCCGGTCTCCGATCTCGTCCTGAGCATCCGGAGAGTGAGCAGGAAACTGGCGGCCCTCAGTCTTGACAAGAGCCTCACCCACTTGGTGAACCTCCACAAGGACTACCAGGTGAGAGAAACCTTCGAGGAAACGGCGTGATGAGGGAGGAGCCAGGAGGTTTGGCCCTTTCCGGAAGCGTTGGGCTTTATTCCGCCCTTTGTGTTTGTGCAAGGGGGCTGGATATCTAGAGAGAAGGTGTGACAAACGCATTTGTTACAAGGGCCAGGTCTGACATAAATGTCTCTTTGTCGGGCCAGGCCGTGTGTGCCCTAAAACGTCATGCCAGGTACCAGAGATAGAAACCCAGAGTTTAAACTAACTACAAAAGATTTTAAAAGAACAGCAGCTCAAATCCAAAAAACCCCCCCCGTTATTAGGCATTTGTTACAAATTGCATAAGCGGATCACGCAGTGTCAAGAAACCACAAATGGGGAAAAATGAACCCCCAAGAGTCTAAACACTGGGGAGGGAGGAGGAGAGACATTATCCTGTTTTGTTCCTGCCGAGCTGGTTTTAGTCTGGTGGTTGTGGTTTTTTTGTTTTTTAATGGGGATTTTAAACGCCTTTTAGAAAAGGCGGGGAACGTTCAGCCGAGTAGTTTTTTCCCCCTGTTGGTCTTTGAAGAACACATTACCGGTCATTACCCTACTCTGTAAATATTTGTCTTGGAAGCCACCTTCAGGCTGGGAGCTGGAAGATCGAAACCGTCTTAAATAAATCTCCCCTGGCCCTTTCCCTTCTAAACCAGAGACGACCAGTCGACGCCAAGGTTCCCTCTAAGCTGTGGAGTCTTGTGAGCAAAAATTCTGCTTTGTGAGCTACTGGCTTTAAAGTGGTGAGCGAGCCGTTTGGCTCCTGCATAAATCAGTTTGCTCTGGAGCCCTCCCTTCCTGAGCGGAGACAAAAAATGTGTGAGCCGGAGGCTAAAAAAACTGTGAGCTTGCTCACACTGACTCAGCTTAGAGGGAACACTGGACGCACTTGGATGTCTCTCTGACTGATCTTCTCATAGGCTGTGCCCCCACCCCGTGTCTCCTTGTCCTCCGGAATAAGCTTTGAAAGAGTGATCTGTCTCATAGGCTGAATGTATTGGAAGACGCCCCCTCCTGAGGTGGGGGTCTCCAGATTGGCCTCCTTCCTGAGGCTATCTCTGGAGAAGGCCTTCTAACTTCTGTTGGCACAGACTTCCCATCGCCTGGATGAACAAGGGTGCCCACAAGGCCTGGGGGAGGGGGGGCCTGGCTCAGTGGAAGAGCCTCTGCTTGGCATGCAGAAGGTCCCCGGTTCAATCCCCGGCATCTCCAGGTAAAAGGACCAGGCTGTAGGTGATGGGAAAGACCTTTGTGCCTGAGACCCTGGCTCAGTGGAAGAGCCCCTGCTTGGCACGCAGAAGGTCCCAGGTTCAATCCCCAGCATTTCCTGGTAAAAGGATCAGGTTGGTGGTGATGGGAGAGACCTCTGTGCCTTAGACCCTGGCTCAGTGGAAGAACCTCTGCTTGGCATGCAGGAGGTCCCAGTTTCAATCCCCTGCATCTCCAGTTAAACGGATCGGGTAGTAGGTGATGGGAGAGACCTCTGTGCCCGAGACCCTGGCTCAGTGGAAGAGCCTCTGCTTGGCATGCAGAAGGTCCCAGGTTCAATCCCCGGCATCTGCAGGTAAAAGGACCAGGCAGGAGGTGATGAGAAAGACCTTGACCTGAGACCCTGGCTCAGTGAGTCTGAGTAGACAGTACTGACCTTGATGAACCAAGGGGTCTGATTCCGTAGAAGGCAGCCTCATATATTTTTTGCAGTTTTTGCATTTTGTGTGTCTGTGGGCCCGTGCTTGGAAGTGAAGGCGACCTCTGGCGACTCCTACTGGAGCACGGAGGACGTTCAGAGAAGTGTCTCGATAGCCTGCCTCTGCCTCCCTGCCCTGGTATTTCTTGGAGGTCGCCCATCCAAATACTTGCCGGTGTCGGCCCTGCTTAGCTTCCAAGGTCTGACGCGATCGGGCTTGCCCGGTCTACCCAGGTCGGGGCCCTTTTGTCAGTCTTGAATCTATAGCCCATCAGCAGCTTCGTTGGGTACCCCTGAATTCTAGCATCGTAGAAGGTGTGCCAGTAGAAGGTAGCTTCATGGGTGCTTGTGCGTGCTTTTAAACCCGTTGGCAGCCCTTCATCCATCCCAGTCCTTATCAGCAAGACATTTCAAAGGCCTCCGTGACTTTCTCGTGGCTCCCAACCCCTCTCTTCTTGGTGGCGCGATGAAGGCTGAGGTGTTGCTGGCAGGCACAGAAGCGGCACGCAGCTTTCAGGCGGGTCGTGCGTCGCTAGCGTTCTGCCGTTTTCCTCTGCGGCAAATGAGACATAAAGCTCACAGGTCATCAGTCGGGGCGGCAGTCGTCGGGTGGTGAGCACGCACTGCCGAACAGCCCACATTTTGCCGTAAGAACGGCAGGGTGGTGTCTCCCTGGGCAAAGTTGGCCCTGGGAGACTTGAGTTCTGATCCTCACAGAACCGCGAAGCCGATTGGTCAACGTTGGGCCAGGTCTTCCCTCTCAGGGATTGTTACAAGGACAAAAAATGTGGGGAACTACGTTTTCTGCTCTGAACTCCTTGGGGGAAGGACGGGGGGTAGAAAGGGGTAGATGGGCTCAGTACAACTTAGGCTTCTTAAGGGTTCCTGAGCCCTGATCTCAGAAGTGAAGCAGGTTCAGCCCTGGTTATTTATTCGGTTTATACCCTGCCCTCCCCGCCGAAGGAGGCCCAGGGCAGCCGACATAAAAATCAAGATAGATTAAAAACAGAGTATTCATAAAACCATTAATAAAGTGCTAGCGTACAGTATTCCATTGAACAATGGCGATGCATAGTGTCACATTGGTCATAGTGGGATGCAGTCAGCAGTGGTTTAAGGACTATCATCTCAGTCCCACGCTGGTGTCAATTTATGCTGGCGAGGCACGGGTTGCCGATGATGGTTCCAGGCACAGGGTCTTAGGTCTGCATTCAGCTATTAGGTGTGGCTCCTTGGTCAAAGGCCTGGTGGAAGGGCTCCGTCTTGCAGGCCCCACAGAACTGTAAGAGGTCCCGCAGGGCCCTAGTATCTTCCGGGAGCTCATTCCACTGGTGTGGAGCCACCACTGAAAAGGCCCTGGCCCTGGTCATAGCCAACCTGGCATCTTTAGGACCAGGGAGAATACTTAGTACTTGGATGGGAGACCACCAAGGAAGCCCAGGGTTGCTACGCAGAGGCAGGCCATGCCAAACTACCTCTGAACGTCTTTTGCCTTGAAAACTCTACATGAGTTGGCTGCAACTTTTAAAAATAGCATCATCATAATCATCATCAAAATAGTGATACAGGAAAACAAGGGAAAAGGGGGAGATATGGATATTACTAGGTGCAAGGGCCGTTGCGGGAAGAGAGACAACGAGCCCTAGACAGAGGCCGCCGGAGGGGCCCCCCCATGCACTGGCAAAGGAGAGCACGGCGGCTCCCCAGCGGCCAGGGTTGCACCTCCCCCACCGCGCACTGGAGGCAGCGGGGCAAGCCAGCCAGGCTCGTCCCTCCTCTGTCGGCGCGGGCAGGGGGCCTGAGCGGCAGCTTCTGGGCGGCCGCCTGGGCTGAAGGGCAGGAGAACCCAGGGGGAGAGCCTGCAAGGGCTCCCCGGGCCCCTGCTGGCTCAATGGCCTCGGCGGCTGGGCCGGGGGGGGGCTCTGGCTGGCCTCTCCTGCCGGGCTGCCTCAGCGGGAGGGCAGGAGAACTAACGGGGAGGGCCGCAAAGGGCTGCCCGGCCCCTTCTCAGCTCGCTTGCCTTGTAAGGAGAGAGAATAATCTATAACTTATTCATAACGATGATCAGCATCAGAGTAAATATAGAGCATTTAACATAGACATTTAAAATACATAATATTAGGAAGAGTTTTATATACTCCATACATTTATTATTAAAGTCTAGCCTTTATTTCTATTAGTTACTATTAATATTAATACTCATAGTCTATTAACTGTTAGACACTGATTATTATATTGTATGTTCAATTACATCTTAATACTGTGCGACTGAACAACAACAACAGCAACGCCACTGCGGTTGTCATAATCAAACTATAATCGAGGAGTACATTTAGAGCATTTCTAAAAGGGTAACAATAAACTATTGTTTAAACAATAAACTATTGAGCAAGCTTCAGAGGACGGCGGAAGGCAGGAGGGCATGGCGGGATCTGGTCCATGGAGGCGCGGAGAGTCGGACTCGACTGTGCGACTGAACAACAACAACAATAAACTAGGTTGCAACTCAAGGGCCCTGGCTAACCCACCGTCAGTGCTCCCTCTAAGCTGTGGAGCCCTGTGAGCAAAAATCCTACTTTGTGAGCTCCTGGCATTCAAGTTCTGAGCGAGCGATTTGGCCCCTGCATAAATCTGTTTGCTCTGGAGCCCTCCTCCCTGAGCTCAGACAAAAACGTGTGCGCCAGAGGCTAAAAAACTGTGAGCCAGCTCACACGGACTCAGCTTAGAGGGAACACTGCCCATCGTTGTCAGATCTCGGAAGCTAAGCAGGGATGGTTCCGGACTCAATGTTCCCTCTAAGCTGTAGAGTCTTGTGAGCAAAAATTCTACTTTGTGAGCTACTGGCATTAAGGTTGTGAGCGAGTAGTTTGGCTACTGCATCAATTAGCTTGCACTGGAGCCATCCTCCTTGAGCTAGGACAAAAATGTGTGAGCCAGAGGCTAAAAAACTGTGAGCTGGCTCACACTAACTCAGCTTAGAGGGAACGCTGGTTCTGCTTAGTGCTTGGATGGGAGACCACCAAGGAAGTCCAGGGTCTGCACACCGAGGCAGGCAATGGCCAAGCCACCCCCCAGCGTCCCTTGCCTCAAAAGCCCTGCCGGGGGTCGCCCTAAACCAGCTGCGTGACTCGGCAATGCTTTCAGCCCCCCTGAGGGTTCCCTGAGTCTTTTCTCGTCCGCTTCTTCCCTCCCAGGTGGACAAAGACAAGGTGAAGCAGCTGATGCGGGAGATCGGGAAGGAGATCCACGAGCTGAACATGGCCGGCTGCTACTGGCTGCCGGGCTCCACCGTCGACCAGGTGACCCACTGCAAGAGCCTGGTGCGGCTGAACCTGTCCGGCTGCCCCCTGACCTCCCTCCGCCTCTCCAAGATGCTCTCGGCCCTGCCGCGCCTCCGCTCGCTGGCCATCGACGTCAACCCGGGCTTCGACGCCTCCCACCTGAGCAGCGAGTGCAAGGCCACCCTGAGCCGGGTGCTGGAGCTGAAGCAGACCCTCTACACCCGCTCCTACGGGGTGGTCCCCTGCTGCACCAGCTTGGAGAAGCTCCTCCTCCACTTCGAGATCCTAGACCGCTCGTGCTTTATCCTCTCCGGCCAGCTGATGGTGGGCGAGAGCAACGTCCCCCACTACCAGAACCTGCGGGTCTTCTACGCCCGCCTGGCGCCCGGCCTGGTCAACCAGGAGGTGGTGAGGCTCTACCTGGCGGTGCTGAGCGACCGGACGCCGGAGAAGCTCCACGCCTTCCTCATCTCCGCCCCCGGCGGCTTCGCCGAGAGCTGCACCGTCAAGAACCTCCTGGACTCCATGGCCCGGAGCGTGACGCTGGACGCCCTCCAGCTCCCCCGCTCCTGGA